GAAAGTAAGACAGAACGAAAAAGCAAAAGGGTGGGCAGACGAGGTGAAAGGAAGTGACGGTTAGCCGTGCATGAACGGGAGCGGAAGCGTGTCATATAGGTGCCCGAGAGAGGCAAAGAAGAGGAACGAGGTCGAAGAGGAAAGGCGGGGAGCATATAGACTGAAGTACGAAAAGAGAGGAAGGACATCCAGAAAGTATGAGCGAAAGGTAGGGGCGAAAGGTAAGGACGAGGGAAATCGAAGCAAGGCGCGGCGGCGAACGCGGCGGGCACAACGGCGAGTGATGTCGTTCGAGACGCGGAACTGCATGCGCGATGGCGAAAAGACGCGGGTCCCTCCTCCCAACTTTGAATGTAGACCGTCCACGGTCTAGCACGGGAGGGGCGACGTTACCGGCGGCGCGTTGATGTTGAGCGGATAGCCCGGTTGACACGGCGGGTCCGAACCCGGGGCGCGTACGCGAGGCGCGGAAATGCTACGCGCGCGTAGCACGTTGTGGCGAAAGCGGAAATGCGGCGGAACCCGACGAGGGCGTAGAGCGAGATGCAAGGGCAAGCGGCGGGGCGAACGGGCGGGATACGCGGTGGCCAGGATGTCCACCATCGACGGACGGGAGGGCGGCGACGAATAGGCAACGATGGGGAATTCCGAACGCGGGGAAAGCGACGGGAGCGGCGCAGAACGCGGTTCGTCTTGAACCACCATGACGGGCTGGCGCTGGGAGTCGGCGACTATCTCTGGACCGGTATTTTCGACGGTGACATCGGGCGGACTGGGCGCAGGCTTCGCGCGTACTGGCTTTCTCGGCGACAAGCACGGAACGGACTTGAGCGAGGCGGCGTAATCGTCAGAGTATGGCTTCGTCGACGGACGGATCTCGGGCGGCAAAACACAGATATCCTCGGCGGCGGTGTACTCGGTTTGAGGCGATGACGGAGCGTTCCTTGGCGGCACGACGGTATCTTCGACGATAGCGGGACTGGGCGGCACAGCGAACGACGAATCTGGCGGCTCGGGTCCGTGCGACTGGAGAAGAGGCTGGACTGACTGGAACACGGCGAAGTCTTGGGGGTGAAAATCCTTCAACGATAGCGGGTCGGCGTCTCGAACGGGCGGCAACGCGACTGCGTGCTCGACCAGATCTTGATTGGGCGACATCTTGACCGTCGGATCCGTGTCCACGACGTTGGGATCGGGCGCCACTTCAATCGGCGACTTTGGCGACCCCAACGACGAACGGGGAGCTCCGTGCTTAAACAACCCGTGCGGCGACGGGACGGACTCGGACGGAACATATGGCAGGGCGGGCGGCGACGGTTGCGGCTGGCCGAGACATAGCTGCGGCTTCAACGAAATCGGTGGTGGCTCGTACGGCGGAAACGTGCGGTCGGGCGCGTCGGAGCGGTCGAAATCGGGCGTATATGGCGGAACGTATGGCGTATACGGAGCAGGAAGATCGTCGGTGCATTGCGTAGTAGGTAAGTCGAGCGGGGATGGGCATGGCAACCGTAGCTGACATCCGCGCGCAGATAGACCTGTTGCGGTGTATGTTGTGTAGGAACCTGAGTGCGGATGCAGAATGAAATCGTCGTCTTGAGTTGCCGAGTCCGAGATGGCAACGTTGAAGAGCGGGCATGACGGAGGCGAACGGGCGGCGAAGACGTCCGGATCGTTGACGTATGCGTGCAGCGACTCTTGTACCGAGTCGGGTTCAGCGACCTGTGCGAAATACTGGCGGACAGCGGCGTCTACCAGATCCATCGGATATGACTGGTCCGCGTCCGGAGCAATTGAGGCGAGCGCGGTGTATATTACAGCGTGGTCCAAAGGCGAGAGCTGAAGTGCGTCGGCGAAGTACGCGTCGCGTACGTGTGGCTGAAGAATGCTGAGCGACACGAGCGGGTCGGTGAGCGCGTCGAATTGGCGCTTGAAGTCGTTGTATCCGGCGATGGAGACGATCGGCGCGAGGTGAGACTGATCGGCAACGAAATCGTCAAGGACGTCGTAGATGACGGCGGCGGACACAGATATGAACGTATCGGGTGTGGAAATGTTTGGCTCGATTGAGCGAGCAACGTCGCGGGACGAAGGCGGTTCGTATACGGGCTCCGGCTCTGCGTAGGCGATCGAGTTATATCCGCGTTCTTGAAGAGCCTCATCGAAAGCACGCTGGACCATATGCGTGATCTCCTCGAGGGACGGAAGGCCATGGTCGCTGGCGTCGAAAGGATCGTTGCGGAAGGACGGCTCGGTGATGTGCGAATGGATTGTCGGTGTACGGGAATCAAGCCAATAGAGGTGGTCGGACATGACGTGAAGAGGTGCGGGCGACTGGAGAGGGTGGCGGCAACGAGTTCGAGCTCGTAACGGTGGCGGCGGCGGAGGGCAGCGGGACGGAGGAAGCACACGGGCTTCGAACGGACGGGCGGATGGGCGGACTATAACGTGCGGACGTAAACGTAGACGGGACGCTCAAGCTATAAGCCAACACGGGGCTTCGAAGTCACTTGTAGCGATAACGGCGGCGGCGGAGTCGAGCTGCTATAAACCGACAAGGGGTTTCTAATTCGCGAGCAAGACGATGACGGGAAAACGGCGGTTGACGGCAAGGAGACGGCGGCACGAGCTATAAGCCAGCAAAGGCTTCGAAGTCGCGAGTGTCGGTAGAGGTGGTGGCGGCGAGACGGGTAAGCTTGACTGAGTGTATGACAAAGTAGTTGCTGACGAGGGTATTGGCGTAGACGGCGGCTAAGGTCGCAGCAGAAATGCACTTGGGCCCCTCGCGGTGGGCTCCAAAATGACAGGCTCGATGTCGCGTATACGACGTGGAGAGTATCGGTGTGTGCGAGGGTCCGAGCGA